AATGTGCGGGCCTTTTGACAGGGGAGTGTTTGAAGGAACACCTCACTTCACAGGTCGCCAGACCATCTCGGGGTTCAACCAACAACCCTCTATATGGGCGTTTTTCAATGTCAGCTATACATGACCAAGCCTCAAATGTTTTGGTTCCTTGATTGATGGCTGCCATGTCTCGGAATGCCGTCGATCCAGTTCAGCAGTGACAAGCGAATTCGGTGCATTTTGAAACGGGTCGTTGAGACATCCTGAAAGGCTGAAGTTCTGAAAGGGTTTCCTGTTTGTTTCCCAAATCTAATTTTTTCATATTTTTCCTCACACAGTAGCAGTGGAACAACAACCTGAACCCTGGAATTCGACGGCCTTCAATAGCACTCTATATGAGGACTATACATTATTAGTGGCTCCACCTCCATTTTGGGATGCGTTCTTGCACAAGACAATTTGGCAGCATGTCATGAGACACACTCTCTCCCCAACAATGGTCGGAGCAGAAAGTAACCATGTTTATTGAAGACGGCTGTATATATAGACATTCCAGGATGTCCTGCTGCACGATCTACTTCATCCATTTCCTATCACTTCTTCAAATTTATATCATCACGAGCAACACCCTAGGCTAACTACCTTTTGAGGAGGTAATTGGGGTTGGAATCGTTGGAATGTTTGACGGTCTGAGTCTAATTGCCTTTAGGAGGAAGTCGTTGCAACTACCCCCTCCAGCTTCCCAACTTCCCAACCAACCTTCATCTCGACAACCCCGAAGAGAACACAAACGGCCACATGTTACATTCTGTGGGTCGCGAGTCGCTGCGACGGCCACCAGGCGGGGGTCAACTCCGTGCGCGGCCGCTGCAAGATGGAGAACCTCTCCGTGTCTGAGCATTTGCAGCAACGTTTGCGAGCCGCTCGGAGCCAAGGGTCCGGGGTGATGGGGCGAGCACCGGTGAAGAGAGGATGGTATAAGATGGCACTCCGCATGTATAGGGAATCAATAGGTCACAAGCTGGAAGAACCAGGTATATTGAATATTACTAAATTTGTCGGTTTACCTGGGTGACTTGCGCAGAGTATCAGAATTGGTTTCGTTCCCTGTCTATGACTCACTTTTCGGGGTAGTTTCAAGGATTGACATTGGCCCAACCGACTATTGTACATTTTTGGTACAAGAGCGCTGGCCGGGAGTCCATTTTCGTGGGTGACTTGTTTTCCTGGAGCACATATATTTAAACAATACCCAAGGCATCCCAAGGCCATACAGAATTGCATACAATATCACGTGATAAAGCATCCTTCCCCAAAACATCCCAAAAACCGGAACTCCAAAACTCAACCTTTCGCTTTGTTCAACTCCTTTCCACCAAAGCGATCTGAACCACCGGACGGCGTTTTCCGATGGAGTTTCTAAAGGTGCTCGCTTCGATCTGAGGACTTCTTCCACTTAGACTATCAGTGGGGCTTAGGCAGCTGAGCCCAAAAGCCAAGTGAAGTGTTTTTTGATCATGGACCTCTTCTCCAAGCTGCCAAGTTTGGGCGCCATGTCCTCCAAACCATCCCGTTGGAGGTAGACGTTTCTGGCAGACGCGCAAAACATCGAGCAGAACTTCTAGGGGGTTGGATAGGGGTTTGGAGAGGGTGAGGATCCGATCACAGCGGATTGTAGTTTCCATTGAGTCCAGATTTAAACATTAGAACCAGATTTGGCTTCCCAGGCGCTCCAAACAGCCTGACTGCCCCCCTCAAAACCTCGGGATTGGTTCGACCCCAGACCCCTGACCCGAGGATTCGGGTCCAGGGTCGCGTTTGGGTTGATTTAAATCATTGACTTCACTCCCTGGGGATTCTGGGGATCCAGTCGTACCTTCTCAGTAACGGTGATTGGACACACTTACCGTGGTAGGTGCCAGGAGGGTCCAGTCGTACCGAACCTGAGGTTCGGTACGACTGGGATCCCTAAGGGCACTAGGTGGCAAGGAGCGACGGAGCTTCCCATCACCCACTCACTTTGATTGTTTTTTTAAGTAAACCTGGTTTTGCGGATCAGGTGGGTTGTTCTAATCTTCCCGAACTGGTCATATCCGAAGACTGGTGAATAGATGTTAGATGTTTCCAGTTTACTTAAGCAAATCCCAGATCAGAATCATATGTCACCCTCCAGAGAGAGGGGTCATGGTGGCCGTTGCCGGTCGATTCCGAACACCCCAGAAGAAGCGAGGAGCCTCACAGTGGTCTGTCACATGGCAAGACCCCGCCCATGTCAGAGACAGACCCTACACCTCCCAGTACCTCCTCAGAAGGTATGACTGAACCCTTTTGGCACCCACCCCAGTCCCACGGAGGTACGACTGGAGGCCTAGGGACAGGGAGAAACAATTCTGTGGTTCAGAAACATGATTCTGCCATACTCTGAAAGCCCTTTAGCTGCAGTTTTACCTTTCCGAAATGCAGCCATGTTGGTTCAATGCGACTCTTGGTAGAGAAATCATGCGTGCCCTGAAAGCTTCTCAATGGCTCAAGTGGAAGCGTCGCGGGACTTCATAGCACTCACCACTGATGCAAAGCATGCTGGTTTGGTTTGGCAGTGCCTCCAGCAAAAAAGAGGTCAAACAGGACAACCAACAGAGTCCTTAGCTTAGGGACCCGGAAGAAACAACAAAACCCTTAATTAGTTGTAAAGACATGGTTCGGCTATGTTCCGATGGGGTGCTTTGCCCTGGCGCTTTGCCAGCCGCGGCCAAAGACTCTGTGAGGGTTCTGGCTGCGTATGACGTATGTCTCCAGGTTCATGCAAGGCCTTCCGGGCCGACGGGAGGAACGGTGGAAAGCCTCGTGGTGTCTCACGAACGTTGGGAACTTTTCTTCAGTTGTTTTACTGCTGTGCTTTCAGACCTTTCGAACCATGAAAAACATGTTTGTTGGAAAGAAATAAGACGGAGTCACAGGTCGGAGCGGTCACAGGTCGGTACTATCTGAGTGGATGTGTTCTCAGGGCACCTCCTTCACCTCCTTCGGTTCGTCTCAGCCAACTCCATGTCGACTCCTCAAGGTGTTCATCACCGGACTCGTTACCCTGATAGCAACCAGCACCCCTCCACTCGTTGGAACCTCTGGTTGATGGAAATCATGACCCACTGGTTTCTTTGTTTTTCTGCTTGGGTTGGCCTGTTGGAGCGTTTGGATGGAGCTGCTTGCAGCGGGTTCTCATGTTCCATGCGGTAATTCCACCGACGGAACCGTTGGGTCTGGCACTCCATATCCCAAAGACTTCACCGAAAAAAATGCCCACATTGACCCCTGAATACCATCCAAAGGGATAAGGCCCTCTAGAGCGCCGGAATTGGCTGGGGAGTAGGTTCCCTGACGAGTTGCAGGCGCAGCTCTGTTGCTGGTGACTGCTGTCATTGGTGGCACGTTGTTGTCTGAGCTTATTCCGGCCTCCTGGCAAGGCAAGTTAGCGAGGGATTTTGGACATACCCCTCTCAAATACCAAAAGCTGAAAAGCACAAGGGATTTCAGCCAAGGGTTCTGAGGTAAGGTATGGTGAGTGAGAGTGAGTGATACACGGTCTGATCAGTACATGGGGTCAACTGGGAACCACCCTCACATGACTCCTGAACAGTCAGTTGACCTACGTAGGGCTCCAAGTACCTCCTCAGAAGGTACTTGGAGCTCTATGGAATGATAAACAATGATCATGGAATCATGTATAATTTTATTCTAGTTTTGTTCACTGTACTATATGACTATATAATATAACTATATATATATATGCTATGCTATTTTTTGGGGGGGTTGTGTTCTTTGGGAAGGACCTCCGAGAGCGAACGACCGATCCTTTGCTTCGGCTCGGCTGGGCTCGGGCGATTCTTCGGGATCAGATCAGGGCGTTTGCCGTGGTGAAATCACCACCCCTGGAGAAACCCAGATTCATCCTAGAGATTGGGGCCATGTTCCACTGGAAAGACTCCTGAGAGTGTAACACCCACCGCCGCCGCCGCTTTTTTTCCCCAGGGTATAGGGGGGGCGGAAAAGCTTCTTCAGTTCAACCGCTGCAGTTTTTGATATGAAACGCGGCCAGTGAAATTCGGACATAGCGGCCGCGGCCCAAATAGAACCCGTTCTTTGTGGAAAGTGGAGCCGAAGATGCTAACTACAGAGAGAGAGAGAGAGAGAGAAGGACAACATTGGGCTTTGAAGATTGTAAGGCTTAGCGGCTTGATGCATGTGTTGATTTCTTTGACCCCGTTTGGCAAAACGGGCCCCCAGATCCAAGGTCTATTCGCACCACATTCGTCAGAGGATCGTCGTGAATACCACATCGACCAGCCTGATGCGGCCATCCTCGCCGCCGTCGCCGAAACAGCCGTGGTCGCCGCAGCTGCCCATCATGGTGGGAAGGACCCTCGGTCCAGGCTCCTTTTTGAACCTGCCGGGGGTGGAGCTGGCGGAGCAGAAGCAGAAACCAAGCTGTCAAAGTGTGTGCTGTTTTGTTTGTTTCTATTGCGATGTATTCTGCTGGTGTTTGGTGTTCCTTCTGGTTTTAATTGAGAAAACAATATTCTGAGCAGGATGTTTTGAATGGTTTCGGGACATCCCTCGACCATTCATTGATTATATAATATATATATATGGGTTAAGATACATCCCTTAGGTTTGTCCGAACTTACCCGTAATAAAGCTGGACAAGGTTTCACAAGAACGTCACTCTTTTTGACGTGGAAAGGCCTTTCAACATCCGGCCCCATCATCATCCAAAACGGGCCCTGGTATTACAGTAGGATAGACCCAAGGGTTAACCACTCGTCCCAGAAAATGACACTGCCAGGCTTGTTGGTTTCTATGTGTTCTTTACTATCGAGGATACAGCTCCTAAGTAGGGAGTACAGACCTCCGCACCGTCGCTTGGACGGAACAACGAGCTGTGCTTGGAGTGTGTGTTTTTTCCTCGCCCGTTTTTTTCTCAGCAAGGACTCGTTGTTTGAAGTTCATTCACATCCCGAAGACGGCCGGCTCGTCCATTGACCAATTGAGCTTCCAATTGAAGCTCAACTGGGGCCCTCATGACCGCTCATTGCCTCATGGCCGGAGTTCCAGGGTGCGGACGATCAGGGTTCGAGGGTTCAGTCCGTTCGACCATTTGATTGCCTCATGGTTGATCTGGTTTTGTAGTGATAGTGCAAAATCTTAGTAAAACACTGGTTGTTCTGGTCCAAAGGCTATTGGATATAAATGGTGGTTCGACTTCTAGCGTATGATTACAGCCCGGACCAGGTGCAGACGGCCAAACAGGCATGGGTCACTCATCGACGGATCGTGTTCAGACTCGTGTGCAGACATTGATTAGGGATGGCTTCGACCAATCACAAACGTAGGGGTTGACTCGTTGGTTGGGCTTATCAACAGTAGGATGTTGATGGGACAGGAAAACAAACAGTAGGATGTTGATGGGATTGGAGTCAACATGAAGAAAACACATCTCACAAACAAGCCAGACTCTTTGAGGGGGTGTTGCTGCGTGCAAGCCCCTACAAAAATCCAGATCCTGGAGGTTTGAGCCCGGGTCCAAACCCTTTTTGGTTAACCTCCTTGAGTGGTCCAGTAAAATGAGGCCAGTTTCCTGACCTGCGGGGGAGTGCATGTCTTTTGGCACCAATTTGGAGTAGAACATTTCAGTCACACTGCCTGTCCGACGCACCGGGGCGCCTTCTTATTCTTGCCGGGTGCCTTCTCCGAGGCATTGCACAAACATGTCCATGTGCCGGCAAACCACTCCGATTCTACGGCGCTGTTGCTGGCACAAGAGCACGGCATGCAGTGTTTGGCACGATCCACCCAGTGTCCAGGCGTTCATTTGAGCTTCCCCCCCCCTGCAGACCGACACATGATAATAGACCCTTAAGTAAGACAATTCTCGTCCACCATCCAGTCGTTTTCAGGGTGCAGGCTTGTGTGGTTCGGCCGGTGTTTTTCTGTTCTTTGATGTGAAGATAGGCCCTCCAAAAAACATCCGTGGTGGTGAATGGACATCCCTTAACTAACCGTTTTTTCATCGTTGTTCAGAGCTAATGGATCTAATAGACACCCCATGGCTGCGCGCTGGTAGATTTTAGAGTCTTGGAGATTCATGCCATGTCCTACCTACTCGTAGAACCCATTTCACCATATTTGACCTTCTTCTTTTATAGGACAAGACCATGTTTATAGGACAAGACCATGTTTGGGCTCCAAACCAGGGGTCACAGGCTCTAGTTTTAAGAACATTTATATCTATATATATATATATGCTCCAGGTTTTTTTGGAAGGCCGAGTGAAAGGCGATTCCGACGCGAGATCCGGGGTGAAAGAGATCAGCGGTCCATTCTTGGGTCAACCATGTCAACGAGGTGTTTGACTCGTCTTTTGGGTGGTGTTTATTCATCAAGAGTCGACATTTAGGGCGTTGACCGTATTTAGGGCGTTGAATAACATATGATTTCTATTTTGTGAGACAGGTCTGCAACCTAATCATCATCCACTGAAAGCTGGTAATGGTATATATATAATACATATATATATATATACTCAAGATCTACCGTGCTTTCTGCTCTTGACATGTTAAAGAGTTCCAACCAGTTTTGTCCAATCCTACAAAACTCGATGGGGCCCAGGCCTGGATAAGAGTTTGCGTAAGAGAAACTTTGAAACACGAAGGCATTGATGAGCAACTGGCGCAAGTCTATGCCAACTGCTCCACTTTTTGCGTGGTCCGTGATCCAATCATGCGCTTCATGAGCGAGTACTTTTACATGTCCAAGCACAAGCGTATTCAAGGACGTCAGATGTGCCGCAGATGTCGGATGTTCGACTAATTCACCCGCTTCCTATAAAGAACTTCCAAGCACAAATCCTTGGAGTGTGAGCCCCCACCCTTGTCTTCTTCGTCTCCGTATCAACCCCTTGGATCTTCCAGAGAGCTAGCAAAGATGTGAAGGAGCAACATAGACCGGGGCGACACGCCTCCGACACATGCCGGAACTCTTTCAAGAAGCCCAGCTACACACCCAGCAAATTCTGCCAAGCTTGTGTCAAATGATATGACAGTGAGTGAAGACCCAATCCCCAATGGGCAGGGATCCCAAATCACACATCACACATCCTCAGACTTGCAGTTGTTTGATTATTTCAAAGGCCGCATATAGTTTTATTATATATATATATTATATATATGTGTGTGTGACTGTATCACTACATGTAAATGAAGTGTTTTTTGAATTTGATATGTTGTATACTTTCCTGACCCCGCCCCGGAGAAGCAATATGCAGAGCCTGATTATAGACAGCGCATTTGTTCATCGCAGCTAAATTTCCATCCATTTTGTCAAGCTGTAGATTTCAATAGTTCAAGCATGCCCTAGGGATCCAAGTACGTCCTCAGAAGGTACTTGGACCCTCCAAACCTACATAAACAGTCTCCAATCACCTTCTGAGAAGGTACTTGGATCCCTAGGGATGTTAAAGCCATAGACTTTGAAACGACTATATCGTTCATGTTTGGCTGGGTGCTTGTTAGCTTTCATCACCTTCACAAGAAAGCTGACCTGTCAACCTGTCCAGGAGATTGGTGCGATCCAGTGAAATTTGAGGAGTATGCAAATGAGACCATGTAGCTTGGGACCATGTAGTTGATGGGGTGCGGCCGCTCAGATTCCACCTTTGCTGATGCATCGCCACCACCGTGAGTGTAAGAGTTAGTATCCCAGACATATATATATATATATGAAATATGAAAGGCATTGAATGTACATTGACCGTACATTGACCACTTATCAACCACCCCAACTGATCAGCAAATATATATTCCCCTACAAGACCAAAGATCCAGTAAAACCGGGTCTTTACCTCCTTAAAAGTCGTGTTTCTGTCTGACCAGGGGTGCAGGGGTACAGGTCCAATCAAACTGACCTGTAGGGTTCCAGTGTCATCGGTATGAGAATCTCCCGCCCCCGCCCCCGGAGATTCTCACCCCGTCTCGGTCCCTTTGAACCACCCCAGCTCCATGTACGGAAGAACAAGGCGACTCGCAAAGTGCTTCAACGGTTCAACCTATGGCATCTACGGCATGCAAAAGAAGGTATATCAATGACATGAACCCAACACAACTGGATACTGGATGGTAACAACTTAAGTGATCATTTAGTGGTCACAACTAACGGTATCTTCCACACCTTTGAGGCCCGGTCGTCGGGTCCGGAACACGCCCGTCCCGGTCGTCCGTGTAGCTCATGACTCCGGACTGGAAGAGTTACTTAGATTGGGGTCATGTGTCGTGGGGTAAATCTGTGGACCTAGGAATAGGTCTCATGGATGATCTGGGTACCGCCAGTGACGATCTTGCGCATCCGTGGGTTTGGTCGTAGCAACCGAATAGTTGCCAGGCTGGGAGACCTGGTCGCCCCACAACATCCTCCCCTGAGTGAAGGCGCAGAAAACCGAGGAAATCACCCAGACACCATGGGACTGCCATGGACTGCCATATATGCCGATCAGTTGGGGTGGTTTTGGGGGTCTACGCCGCGAGGCAACGTGCTTTGGAAGATCCCTTCATTGATGATTGCCACCTTGTGCCACAAGCGCCGCTCGGCCGAGCGGCGTGCCAAAAAAAGCGGGCATGTTCCTGACGGGTTTGGGGCCGCTGTAACTGGAAACGCCGATAGATTGCACATTATATGCCTACAGCCTAGAGCCTGAGTCACCTCCAATTTTGGATCACCAAGCACCCAACGTTATGGTCAAGCTGCCTAGCAAGCCATAAAGCATGTTTGGGCCCATTATATAACTACGCATCATAGATACAAGGTGAAGAAGACTTCCATGGACCCTGAATACCACTGGTTTGTAGTTTGTACAGGAAAACAGTTTTTCAGGGTGCCATGCTCACGGTCCTACTTTTCGGGAGTGTAATTGAGACATCAAACTTACACACAGAGAGAGAGAGAGAGAGTGAAAGTTTGGTTTCTCAGATGCTTCCGAGAAAGCAGCTTCCTGGACTTCAGCTCCTGACTAGCGTGGTCTGACCACAAACAACAGAGCAACTTGGGATAATGGCCAAAAACAGCCTTGCAATTAACTTTTTGGTGAGCTTTCTTCAAGTGCCCTTTCTAGTTTGAAGATTTTGAAGTTTGATGGATGTCCTTTCCAAGATTCAACAGCTACACAAGTGGTGTGTTTAGGCATTTGGACAGGTGGACACTTCTAACTTCTTTGTTTGCAGACTTGACTCCGTTGAAGGCTGCCTGTGTTGAAACTTCAGCATGCAAAACAATGTGAGGCTAGTTTGGGGAGTCCGTCCGTTTCTTAAAACGAGCATGGGAGTGTTTAATTGAAGTTCACCGAGCCCCAAACTGAAACACAGCTCGGTCCTGCGAAGGCAGCGTGGTGTTGGGACAATACCGGCCTACCGCAGGCCCCGTTCGCAACCAAAGGCGTTGAGTCGGGTGTTCGCCAGATCTGGAGGTGTTTTGGGGGAGTCTTTTCTATACTCCCTATAGGAATCCAGTCGTACCGAACCTCAGGTACCGGTGATGCGTGGAGCCTCACGTAACAACGACTGGCGCCGGGAGGCTCTACCTTCGTACCTTCTGGGGACATGTGGCCCTTTTTCTGCTGAGGTTCTACTTGGTCTCTTTGGATGGCCACCGCTTGTGTGATCACATCCTCCGCTACGAGCACTTACAGAGCGAGCTGCCTCAACTGCTGCACCTGGGCCGGAAACTACGAAGGGCACAAAGAGAAATCCCGCTGAGGAGGGCACCCCGATAGTAGGAAAAGGATGGAAAAGGGTTCTTGAGCACCCTTTTCGCTATTATAGGTTGGATGGAGGCCATCGCTAGTAGGTTGGAGGCCATGACTACTAGTAACAAGAAGCTACTAGTAACAAAGGCTTCTTGGTTGGAGCTATGACAAGAGTTTCAAAGGAAGTGGCTTTTGGCTAGCTGCGAGGAAGTAAGCTAGCTACGTGCCTGGTTGGTTGAGTTGTATCCATGATTACAATTACCAGCATCGTCAAGGCGAGCTTTAAACTCTTCGTCCTGGACCCTACGCCTGGACGAATCCAAGGGTCGAGTCAGATCTTTCTTGTTTATAACTTACGTCATTCTCATCGCATCTCCGTTCCTGAAAACTGTGCTTTTGCCATGTGCCTTTTTTTTGGTAATAACATATCAGGCCGCGATAAGGCTTATAGTAAACTGTAAACCGTAAACCCAATGTTTACTGATGTTCGATCTTTTTTCCACGTCGAGCAGTCGCGATCGCGACCGTCGGCTGCTAGCCGGTCCAATCGCTTCGAAGCGACCTGACGGGGATTGAGGGACGAGCCGGCGAGCCCGAGGGCTCTTGTGGTGACGTGTTACATCGTGGGGTACTGGCAAGGTCCGGTCCTACTAGGACCCACCTTTCGGGGTGGTGAAATTGGACACTCCTTAAACCTCTAAGTTAGGGCTATCAATAGACACCCCTTGGCTTGGCCTGCAAAGACGACCATTGAAATCCTGTCAAGTAGAGGACTTGATTCAGCAAGGTCATCGCTTTTGAGGGGGGCCGCCTATCGCTTTTGCTGGTTTTATCCCAATTCCTGAAGTTCACGACTGCTCTTTGCTAAATTAGCAATTTTTTGGTGGTTGTTCATATAACTATTCCAGTCTCTATACATGGTCAGGGACAACACAACTACCGTCAACTTCTATAAAATTTCAACAACCATTGATTTCATAGGCTAGTACCACACAACCATTGTTTTACTAAGACTGCATGTCACCAAATCAACAATTCGTTTAACTCCTACGGATGATTTGGGCACATGCACCTCAACCCCATGGACGGCAACTGGCACGCGTAACGGTGCGCGTTTTCTCCCCGCCAGTTGGGCGCCTGATTGAGGAAGTGGTATCACAACCTGAACGAGTCAAAAACTCGACTTCAAGTCGCTCAGATGTCGAACTGGCCCTTTGTGCGGAAGGGTTTTTACCTTGCAACTGCTCTCCTTTGGAGGCTTTTGTAGACTTAAAAGTCGCAGGTGGTGACCTATTGGAAGGTCCTGGTATATGGGATGTTGTATATATTTTTGATCTTTGCAGCAATTGATTGGACTCCTGACTTGAAGATTTGCTCAATCTGTGAGTTGACTCCTGTAATTGGATAGCAGATGCAGAGGATTTGCTCAAGTGCAGACAACCACCAACGTCACCTCAGTGGGAGGATTTCCCTCTCAAGCCTGAACCAGCCACTCTCAGGAAAGCTGTCGTCCTATCATGTTTGTGTTTCTTTTATGTTGTTGTATATGTTGTGTTTTTTTTTTGTTTGCCGGATTCTTAACCCTTTATTTAGACCTTTCAGGCAATGAGAAGTCCTATAAGTAGTGTTTTGGGGGGTTCGGGGTGGGGCCACATGAATGCGGGTTAGCTGTCATGGCCCAAGATGTCCATGTCCAAGGTCCAGCAGCAAGAAGATGATTTTCATGAATCAACACGTTTGGATGAGTTGGCTTCCCTTTTCCAGCCACAATCAGATCCACCTTCCTTAGTTGAGCATTTTTTTTGGCAAACCCACCAGCTGCCAGCGCCGGCCTCCCACTTTGCATACTGCACCACGTGCTCAGATGGTGAACCAAGCTGCACGACGGTGCAATGTGCCCTTCTCGCCAGAGCTGCGGCAGCGCCTACGAGCCACTCAGTGTGAGAGGACGTGGTGTTCTGTGGCGCTGTGGGCTACCTGCGAGGTCTTCTGGATGTACAATACCCGTAGCAACAGAGGTTAAGTGACCTTATAGGACCCTACTGGGGCACCCATGGGATAGTCTATAGTCTATAGATGTCTATAGGGTTCTTCAACCTGTTCTGTATAGCTACCTCAGTATTAGGGCCCCCGAATGCGGGGTATCAACGGCCACTGGCCCAGGCCGGCATTGCAAGGATTCCACAGCCAGGTTCCCCTGATTCCTTTGGAGATCGGTCGGCCTTTTCGATGTCACCCCCTGACACTCCATGGGACTGGAATAGGACTGCCGCCCCAGACAGACCCCTTAGGTCCACCACCCCTGGCCGTGCCACTCGGCAGTCCGGCATGGCAGTCCCAGACGGGTCGCGTTTGGGACTGGACACCGGTCTGAGGACTTCTTCCAAGTGGACTACGAACTGGGCTTAGGAACTTGATAACGGGCTTCGTTGCATCGCGCCATGCGAGGTCTGGGCGACGTGTTGGGGGGCGCGGTTTGAGGTGCAGAGGTCAGACCTTTCGACCGAGGTCTTTGGATGTGTTTGTTTTGCGAGTTTTTTGATTGGTTCAGAATGCACTTCTAGGAACACGAACCATTGGAAAGTTCAACAGAAACAATTGGAAAGTTTAAAAGCGATGTCGATCTGTGGATTTTGTGTGCAAGATTTGTGGGCGTTGCTCACTGAGGAGACATATGGGGATCCCATCGGAGGTTGTCGCTTAGACTTAGGGGTCTTTGTTGGTTTGCATGTTTTTTTCTGCAGGGGGTGGAGTTGGAATAAGTTGAGCATTGAAGTTGCATATGAGTCTTTGGCATGGGATCTGTCAGGAATACATGACGCTTGAAGACAACCTGTTGTCGACTGGCAGCTAGTGGCAGGGCTCCGCGTTTTCTACTGCCCACCGTCAGTCGGACCATGCTGGAATCATCATGGAGAAAAACCACCGGTTTGTCCATGATACCCAGACGCTCCATGTATGGAATATATGCCTACATTGGAGTGGTTTGGGTGGTCAATGTAGCCATATATGGCATACATGGAGTGTCCATGATACTACCAGAGAGTGCAGTGTACCTCACCCTCTTCACCAGATCGTTTCTCAGTCAGATTTTTCCATTGGTGCGGCTTAGGTAGCCACAAGGTACAACAAAGATTGACAGTCCGAAGCATTTTGTCTTGACATGTTTGGGGCAAAACATGTGGCCCCACAACGAGGTGGAATGTTCGTGCATATTTATACCTCTGTAGATAGAAGCTTCCACATTCTCAGTTGATCTAAGACAGTAAATCATGTCCAGGCGGTCGCCCACAGCACAAAAGGACTCGCTACCGGGGTAATTTCGACAGGCATGTGGACGTGCAGCAGGCAATCCTTCCAGTGTCTTGTCCTGCCAGACGGGCTTAGTATGGCTTAGTCACGTCCTATGAACTGGTGGTATATTGATCACTGTCACCGGTGGTTGGATGTGGTTGGTATAGATTTCCAAAAAAGAAAAAGGAACTACGAACGTGTAACTCTTCCGGACACTGTTCGAATTTGGTGCCATTGTCGGGTTCCAGTCGTACCGAACCTGAGAAGGACTGAATCTCTATATAGGGATAGATATGCTTTTCAAGGGTCATTCTCATCGCCCCGGTCGCCTTGATTCGCTCCGCTCCTACGCTCGCCGCCCACCTCTCGAGTGGAGAGGCCGCCTTGGAGTCCTGTTTTGACTGGGGTGATTCACACGAGGCATTTTTCAAAGGTTGAAAATATGGTGGACCCCTTCATCTCACCAGGGTTGCATCATTTGAAGGGCCGATGTTGCCTCCCAACCAGTGGCAGCCCGAACTTGCAGCAGCCAGAAGTTTTGCAATAATCATTCTTGCGCAGTCTTACAAAACCTCTATACAATCTATAGTGGTCTCCACCTCCGTATTTGGATGCGTTCTTGCAGCATGAGAAAGGAATCTGGTGAATCTGGCAGTGCCTCAGAAGCACCACACATACTGTTTCTGTCAGTCCAAGAAGTCAACAATCCCTAGGAAGGTGATTGGCCACCACGGCTTCGGTGCCAGTCGGCTTCGGTGCCACGGCACCGGCCACCCTTCGGTGACGAAAACGGGTACCCGACTCACGAAGCACCGGGAACCAGGATAGCCTTACTGAAAGGCCATGAACAACATTGCATTTGGTGGTCTTGTGGTCTAAGCTCCTTACTAATGGTTGTTGGGTCACCCTTTTTTTCGGTCCATGGTTGTTGGATGTTGTTGAGATCGCAGGTCAAATGTGCAATTCCTTTCACAAAGGGAGCCGTTTTCATCCCAGGGGGACTCCAGCTTCCCACCGGAGTTCAACTCTACACGGCAGAACAGAATAGACGACCTGGTTTCGGTCCATGGTCAACCTACCCTGCAAACTGGGGCTCCGGTTTGGACCTGCAGCCACATGGCAGATTTCAGTCCCGCGACCTGTTTGGGACTGCCTGCCAGGACTGCCGCCCCAGAAAGACCCGAAAGGTCCACCACGCCTGGCCGTGCCACTCGGCAGTCCGACATGGCAGTCGCAAATGGCTCGTCGTGTTTGGGTCTTAGGCTGGTGAACTGTGTGCCCGACCGCCGCTGACCGGAGTAGCGAGCCGAAGCGAATCCCGGGACCGGAACGGCGAGGGACTGGGGCGAGGAGGAGGGTATTTCGCAAGAGCGACCAGGGCTCCAAGTACATCCTGAAAGGGGTGAGACTGGGGTGCATTGGAGGGGTGTAAACATGTCTAAACACCTTGCGAGGTACGAAAGGAGCGCTAGGGATATATCAAATCACTATCAAGTCGTTTTTGGTTGTTAAGACACTATACAGTCTAGTTCATAAATTACGAAGCAGTGTGAATTGACGCTAGAGGCCGCTGGCGGGCTAATTATTCGTGGTTACGGATGTACATGAATGGTTCCACTCGCACTCTCTAATAGTGTGTGGGTTGTCGCAGTCTTAGAGCAGTGAGTCACTGACAGCAGTTCAGATATTGTCTCAATCTCAGAAGTGTGCATTTGACCAGATTTTGTCTCAAACGCATTGCCAATGATCATGGTGTCATCCTGGAGCCTGTTGATGTACCCGCATTTGGTTGTCCATCATGGATACCCATCCTCAATCTAAGCACTCCACTCCCCAGTGAGGAGCCACCGCTTCAGGACTTCCAAGCTCAGCTGGCGCTGCTGCGATCAGCGCCACGAGCCAACTCCCATCTCGCCGCCAAGCCTCGTCCAAGCTAAGATGAGAGGGGCACGTTGCCGTCTACAAGTGCGGGATCAAAAATCCGGCTGACAGTGTGAGTCCTTCCTGAATCGTTTGGAACTGTGTGAGGACAGACAGATAAGAAAAGCGCAGGTAAATGATATATTCCTAGGGCTCCAGTCGTACCTCCTCAGGTATGACTGGACCCTCCTGGCACCTATCCCAAAGACAGAAATATCTATGCATATATATGTTCATTGAGTCCGGATATGTCCGGATTCTCGCCCAAGAAGAGAGTCTCGTGGTATTTGATCCAGGTATCAGCACCACCAGTTCCAGTTCGGAATGTTATTTATATAGTCCAGTGGACCAGCTGGGCACGGTAGACCTTCCAATAATAGGCACCCCTTGGAACTTCTTCGTGTGGCCAAGCTATTGGCCAGCTATGCCTGGTCAGAGGTGTTCAATGTTGATTCCCTTTTCGAAGCATTAAACCTGTATGATGGAATCAGTGGACAGCGCCCAGCGCAGTTGACAGCTTCTCTCGGAAGTCACGACGTCCTTCGTTCGGTGGCCCAGCAAGCAGCGGTTCCTTCGTGGGACCCTGAGATCCACTGATGATGTGGGGCAGCGGCTTGGCCAACCGGTGAGACAGTCTTTGCCCGGATTCCTGGGCTTACCGTGCATGGTTTCATCCCATGAACCATAATTTCACTAAGAAGGTTAGACTACAAACCCGGGTCAGCCTTTCATTTGAATGGTTTTGGGACGGTCATGGAAGGCAATGGTTTTGGGTCCGAGCGCAGCTGCAAGCTCGACGACGACGCGTGATGTAGACGGTGCGACGTGGAGTCGAGTTTGGCCTGTCGATCCACCGAAAGTTTGGCCTCAATATTCCTAGGGATCCAAGGACCTCCTCAGAAGGTATGACTGGAGCCCTAGGGTATATCATTATATGAGCTTCTTCATCATGATGGCCTCAAACCTAATAGCGATACCCTGAGGATTCTTTTTGGGCAGGATCCATATGACCTACATGAACACCACCAGTGCAGCCAGCAGTCATGTTGGCAGGACTGCTGCCGGATGGATCGTTTGGGAGTCATCTGACCTCCAACCTGATTGATGGCCTCGAACCTACCTGGACCTTCAAGGCTTCCATGGGTGACCCCTTTGAAGGTGCTGGTATGAGCTTCTTCAATCAATTCCTGCCGTCATACGGTTCTCCCCGACGATGCACTTCGAGACATCCCCCCCCCAAAAGAAGCAAATACGGAGCCTGGCGCTCTACTTTTCGCCCTGTCCATAGTAGCACAGCTCCCTAGAAAGCCCGCTGAAGAATCGTACTGTTGGTCCATTGAAGAATTTGAGGGATCTGATCAATCTGATCTGACCATCCGGAAGTAGTAAGGGTTGCTTCCAGTGCTTCAAATGCTTGGGTGGACCTCTGGACGGAGGTCGCGCGAAAACGCGCGCGACCGCCTTTGCTTCGTGGCTCAAAGCGAAACAGGCCACAAGGATCGGAAACCGCGAAGAAACGCTGTGCGTTCCCTATTTCGGGCCAACCACTTCAGCACAGTGTTTGGCGAGCGGAACCTTTCAACATCCTTCAACTGTTGACTGAAGACATCTGAAGACGTGGTTCCTACTTGGCCACGCCTTGTATAGCTCCATTCGCTGGCCGGCGGCCAGAGGGCCCATGGCAAACGACTCCCAGTAGAAGCATTTGATGATTGTGATCAGATTCATGCAAGGCCTCGCTTGGGAGAAACCGTGGAAGGCCTCGTGGTCCCGCTTGTTGAAGGGAACATACAACAGATTTGTGTTGCTTGCCTTTTAGTTAGACATTGTCAGAACCTGTTGGTTATATAATTATGGATGTTTGGGGAAAGCTTTGGGAAGTGCGTGAGCATGGACTGCGCTTGGCTTCCCCAACACTCCAACGACCCAGCGTTGTGGAGTTCCCGGCCATAAGTTTCGAGATGCGTAGGTATACGCATGCAGCCTGAAACATGTAACCAGGAAGATTTCGCAACCAGCAGTCACAAGACGGGGTGCTAAACTTGAAGGATGGGGGTGCCCATGATCCACTCACTGGATGGGCCGAGCCAAGCCACCCCGTACTTGTGACTGGACAATGAGCCACCAATTCCACCTCACATATGCGCCGGCGGGCAGTTACCTACTTTGGATGCCTCGCTTTTTCAGACACCTCTCGTCAACAAAAGGCCTTCGGGCCGGTCGGGCCAGTGGGCCAGATTTCTGTTGGGCAAAAGCCTGTTCCCTGTCATAGACGTTCCTAGAATTGATTTGACCTCCATTTTGAGAGGAAAAGGCCCTAGATGTTGGATAGATCCTTGAAAATCAGGGTCACTTTGTTTCCCTAGGTTTGTCGACCAGGAAAATACTTAGGAGCATCAACTGGTCGTTTGCGCACTTGGCAGCTTCCAAGCTCAACTGCTCAGGCACAGCTCTAGTATTCATCGCTGCAGCCATTGGCTGTGCGTTGCTAGCTGAGCTCAATTCAGTCTCCTGGCTGAGAAGGGATTGACATCCTGGTTTTGCTGATCAGGTGATTTTGGTCTTCCCTATCCCAGATACTCCATGTATGCCATACATTGACCCCCCCTGAGTTCGGGTGCATGGCCTCAGTGTGTCGTGCAGGGCCTCACTGTATTCTGAACAAACCGGGTGTACCACACGAAGACGTGCCTGAACAATTTGTGTTCTTTAGATGGGCCTGGGGTTCCTCAAATGTGTTCTATAGAATCTCTTTCTCACACCCTTCGACAGGATTGACGATCGTTTTACATCTCCAAGCGAAAAACCTGCGCACGAGGGTGCTGGCAAGATCGATTTTGACCTCTCTTTCACGGGAGGCCAGTGAGCTTCTGACATACGGCTCAAATAGAACTCATTCTTTGTGAACAGTAGGATGATATAGGATGGAGTGTCGACTATTTACAAAATTCAGACAGAGAGATACCTGGATCCTATCCTCCTTTGGTGATAAACATTGTGCCGGATTCCCAAGAAAAAACCGCCGAAGACCTGAAGACAGATCCGGTTCCACTGAAAAAGAGGGATGGTGAAAGGTTGGATCATGCACAATTTGCCTTTGTGCTGGAGAGTAGATTCTCTGGAACACACTCATTCCACAAGCCAACTTTGGAGCCTTCCCGTTTTCCGTTTCCCTTGCCCATCTTCCGCATGGCCTAAGAGCAGAACCATCACAAAATATAAGCAAACATGTGCCCAAGCAAAGACTTCCAAGAACGAAACCAGGAGTATGTCCCTCTTTCTTTGCAGCTGTGTCTTTAAGGTTCTTTACACAGTGGGACGCTCTCCAGAACGTTTTAGCTTGCCTCAGGCAACCAGCGTTGCAGAACCCATGGTTCCAGTCCAAAATCTTCTTGAAAATGACTTATATAGATCAAAACCTTCCAAACATTTCCGAACACTGAGTCCCGAAAATTACGCCGCGAGATTACGCCAGAGTTACGATGCGCTTTTGATGGGGGGGCCACTTAGCAAACCATTGAAATTCTGAACAATAATCATTCACAACCCAAAATTCGGAGCTATTAGAACTGAAACAGCCAATGGAAATGCATTTTGGCGGCAATTTTCTTTCTGTTTAGGGACGCCCACCTGTGTCTTTTCAATTCTTTTCAACATGTGCATCGCACTATGCTGAATTCTCAGCGATAGTTAGAAGATCACCTAATGCTCACAGATCTGACTGAGCCAGCGTGAACCACTGTTGAAACTGGTGGAATGAGAAAACACCGGAACTGGAACAGGCAATTGAGCAAATGTTGCCAGCAACTTCACTGCATCCAGTGGGCTTTAAAGAGGAAATGCGGACCACACAGAATGCGACGGTCTCGAGAAAAACACGATCAAGTGACTTGGACAAACCTGCTGGACCAAATCCTGCAAAACTGTCGGAGCCGGACCCCGTCCAAGTGCGGGACTGAACCCCAAAAGTCACACCTCTCCGCCACCTTCGGTCCGTCCTGAAGAGCCTAAGGTCTATTCGCACCAGAAGATCCAGCTCTTGGATAAGAATGCCACTTCCACAAGCCTGCGGCGGCCAGACTCCGAAACAAGTGATCCAAGTTCGCCGAAGCTGCCTCGTCAGCGGCTGCCCATGTGGCTGCCGGAAAAAGAGCTTGGTCCAGGCCTATTGAATCTCCCAGAAGTGGAGCAGCTGTCGCAGAAACCAAGCTTTCACAAGTTCCAACAGAGGTTAAGTGACCTTATAGGACCCTACCAGGGTACCTATGGGATAGCCTATAGGGTTCTTCAACCTCTGTTGGTTGTCTATAGTTGTTGGTCTTTGCGATGCCTTGTTGGTGCGAATTCTGGCGCGTTCGATGTTCCGGTTTGTTTCTTTGATCTCTCCCTACAGGTCGGAACCGAACCTATATGGATTCCTGTTTTGGGGGGGTGTGCAGCAACCAAATAAAGAATCCTTGGTAGGT